CTTTTTTTTTTTTTTTTTTTTCTCTCTCGAAGTTGTCAATAAAACAAAGATTATTGAAGTGTTTTACAAGATAATTAAATTTTAGCCTTTATACTTTAATTCATGTTTAATTCAACGTGTCACCTGCCATTTCACTGTAATTATTTGAGAAATTCTGTAGCAATTTCTCAGTGAAAATTGGTTTTGTAGTGATACACTAAAAAAATGGCTTTGAAACTAAAACAACAACAAAAAAGGCTTTCGAGAACATACAGTTCTTGAAAATTCTGGAGTCACAAAATGAATCCTAATAAATTAATTTAATACATCAATACTCTCATTAAAAAAAAAGCTTTTTCATAATTACAATAGAAATACTGGAAATATATGCCTATATGGGGGGAAGGGGGTTTTCAAATATTGTGTAGGACAGCAGAGGCTTTCGGTCAAAAAAATTAAGAACCATTGCTTTGAGATGTTTTATAATGCAGGACATGTTACTAGATCAACTTCCTATGGTGTTCCTACAACAATATTCCCTTCAACCAATCGCAGCCCTTCTAGGTTAAGTATTAGTCTATGAATGAATGGTTGTTAAGCATTACAGTCTTCAGACGTTTCAGGTGTATCAGTGTAAAAGCTTTTATAGGTGGCTACACTGCTTGGGAGTTTTGCGTTTTACGGAAGGTCAGCTGTCACAATCCATCACAACACATCCATCAGATGACTCACATATGTGTGCATGTCTCACATTGACCTGTCTTTGACCATATGCAGCTGTCATCTTGAATGTGAAGGTATGATATTACAGAATTGACCTTGCTAGTGTGCGTGCTTGTGTATAAGTGATCATGTATATACTATCCTTGATTGTGTTTATGATGGATCACATTCATTTAAGGTCTCTTGAATGCCCTAATGTGAATGCGCATCCATGTCCTTGAGTTTATTTTCTAGTATTTTCAATCTGTGTATGTTGAAGGTTGTGTGGGAGTGCCAGACATCACCATAATGTTGTGATGTGTTAGCATTCTGCAGTGTTTGTTTGCCGAGAGAAAAAATGGGTGGACTTTGTCACTTGCATAGCGCCGATAATGAGAAAAGTGTGTAAAAACTGTTTTTGTACACTGTACGTTTGTGTGTACGATGCGATTTTAGTGTCATTTGGCGGTAGTTCCTCCTCGAGCTGAATTATTTATGAGTCTCATGCATTATTCAGCATATCCATGTCTCCTAGGTAACAGGATGAGGGCAGGGGCTGTGTCTCGAGCTCTGGCATTCAGGCAGGTAATTGTCTAACTCAGGATTCTGTAGTTGTCATGACACCAGCGGCTTGGCTCTCGACAGCAAAGCTATTGACACCAATCTCTCTGACCATGCATTTGACTCTTTGGCTTCCAAGTCACATCCACCCCAAAATTATACACTGCCCTGCATTTCAGTGTGTTAAACGTTCATGAACTTAAAAAAGACATCTTAATGAGTTTAATCAGTCTTTTTTGACTTCACGTACAATTACATATATATAAAAAATCTCTCTCTAAAAATTTGCCAAACAACTCTTAATGTTTCATGCAGTATTGCTTTCAAGTTTGCTTCTCCAACAAATTGATCTCGTTTTAAGAATTTTTTACTGTACTGTACATATACTTATTATACATTATATATGCTGTACATATTTAAGTATTTTTTAAAAATATTTTATAATTATACTGTATGTTAATTTTTTCGCAGTATGGGATTGTCTTTCTTTTGCAAATGCAGACTCTTAAAGTAACACTCCACTATTTTTGAAAATAGGCTCATTTTCCAACTCCCCTAGGGTTAAACAGTTGAGTTTTACTGTTTTCGAATAAATAGATTTTTGCAGAAGTCCTGAAAGTAGACAAAGAAAACCCCGTCAAACAAATGAGACAAAAATGTTTTCTTTGTAATTTATTTATTGAGAAAAATTATCCAGTGTTACATATCTGTGCGGTGCATGTGAATCTTTGCGTTCAGTATCTGGTCTGACCCCCTTTTGCAGCAATAACTGCAGGTAAAAATTTCTTGTAGCTGATGATGTCATCTCGCTCAAAAATGACCAAAGAGTTTCTATATTTTTCCTATTTAAAACTTGACTCTTCTGTAGTTACATCGTGTACGAAGACCGACGGAAAATGAAAAGTTGCATTTTCATTTTCATTTTCCGTCGGTCAACTGTTTAGCTCTAGGGGAGTTGGAAAATTAGCCTATTTTCAAAAATAGTGGAGTGTTTCTTTAACTGCTGCAGTATAGTATTATACATTATAGTATGTGATAAGGGCTACAATTTTTCATCTTCCTTGAATCGAAATCAGAATAATGCAAACAAAAATCTAAATTTTTTAGACATATATACAGCAGGGTCCAAAAATCTGTGATCACATTAAAAAAACTAGGGGTTTAAAATTCCATAAGGAAATAAATGGTTTTAGCTTTTTGAAAAAAAAAAAAAAATGAACATGAACCATTGTGTAGGAAACAACAAGGAATATTTAAAGGGGTCATATGATGCTGCTAAAAAGAACATTATTTTGTGTATTTGGTGTAATGAAATGTGTTTATGCGGTTTAAAGTAAAAAAAAACACATTATTTTCCACATACTGTACATTATTGTTTCTCCTCTATGCCCCGGCAGATGGGATAAGGTTCTTATGCTTGAATGCAGTGTGTTCTTTTCTCCAAACATAATGCTTCTCATTTAAACCAAAAAGTTCTATTTTGGTCTCATCCGTCCACAAAACATTTCTTGCACTCTTTCTAGGTCACTAATCGAATAAGCAAATTAATCATGTGAACTCCTAAGTATAAAAGATAAAATTTCCTTGCTTCCATTGAGAGAAACTCAATGTCTTTCTAGAATTTCCTTTCCTGTTTTTCTAGTGTTTATTCAGAGAGTACACGGTTGAGATGCGGGTGTTCACTCATAAATCACACCAGTAGCTATCATTCCACAGTCATTTTTTATTAAAGCACTACTGACTGAAAAGCTGACTCGATTTAGGGCCGGCTTCCTCACTCTCTTCATCTATGTATCCCTGCTGGCCCATACCATCTCATCAGTATGATATTAAGAGTTATTGCCTGCCCTGCTATAGGAGTGAATCACACATAGCAGCAGCCATAAAATTAATGAGTAGTTGAACACATGCTCGCTTACACATAAATACACACACACTTAGATATACTTATACACAGTAGTGTAAGAAATACAGCGTTCCCATACTATTTAATAAATTCCTTCATGAATTCTATGACTTTCCAACAATATTTCAGTCATGGTTCATGTTTTTTTTAAATAAACACAATGTGTATGTACAGTATATATATATATATATATATATATATATATATGTATGTGTGTGT